GGGGAGGAGAACGCACATCAATGCACAGGAAACAAAGCAGAATGCATGTCGCAAATTTGCTGTGATTGGTGCGTGTCCGGGGACCCATTGAAATCAATGGGGACGTGTACGAAACGCAAAAAATAAACGTCCACGAATGCGTGTAAATAGGGACTAAAGTCTTTCTGAAACAGCATGATTTTTAAATGCAGCTGTGCAGAAAATATTCCTTGCAGCTTATCACAAAATATTTTAGACTGATCTGTGTTATTGTTTGGTATACTGTAGCATTTTTACCATTTCAGTGAGCTTGTTTGAATGAATTCAGCATGTTTAATTGAAGAGACACGCATGTGGATCATGTCCTGCGAAATGTGAATTTTTTTTTTTAAAGAGTAGAAATAAAAAGGTTCTGACACTGATAAGAACAAAGCACTTTCTTCAAAGAAAGCAATTTTACAGGTAGATGTCTCCACTCAGGAATCTGTGTCATTGTGAAGTTCCTGCTTACTCTGCTATTCACATTGCAACAAGATGGAGAAATGTTCCAAGGGAATGAAAAGAAAGGTTAACTAAGGAAAATGTTACATTGATAAGACAATATCATTATTTACTGGTGCTATATTTAGAATATTAGATCAGAGCATAAACTAATGTTCTAAGGTGTGTTTGTGAGAATCTTTATAATTAAGAGAATGTCTGATGTCTGTTTGCAAATGCAAATTTAATCAACTTGCCAACTGTGTAACTTGTAATGCCATATGTCGGTTAATTGTGGCAAGAAGAATAGAAAAGTCAAAGAAAATAGAACTTTCATATTAGTTTCGTACATAAACAATAATGGGTTTGAGTCAGTGTTATTTTTGTTTTGTTGTTTCCTTTTTCTTATTATATTTATACACAATTGTAATTTTACAAAGCCTAGTCATGTGCAGGGGGAAAAAAAAAATAGGCTTCTCATCCAAGCTACATGATCTAATATCTGCTTTAAGGAGTTATCACATGCAGAGGAAATAGAAAACAAAAACAAAACCAGGATAAAAATATAGGATCCTCATCCAAGCTTCATCATCTAATATCTGCTTTAAAGGAAAAGTATGGTTTTTTTTTTAAATAATGCTCCCCTGCAAAACATGCTTTAACGTATATGTAAAAGTTTTGTTTTGGATAGAGAAGGGATGAGCTAGACCCTGTGCAAAGATCTGTGTCCTTACTAGGGAGATTCACCCCTCTATTTGTCCTGGTAACCATTGGCATTGAGACAGAAAATAAGTGCAAATTCTTTAGTTTTCATGGGAGCAATAGATGAGGGTAAATAATCCAGTGGGACAAATGTTCAAGTGACAGCTGTCTAAGATGGAAATTCTCCACACTTCAGGGATATTTCTTCTCCTTTCTTGTTGCAAGTCAGGAAGTGAAAGGACATCTCCCCAGCAGGACGCAGACAGCAAAAAAAAAAAAGGCGTTTTAACCCTTCTTTACTATATCCAGACACACAGGAATTCACAAACTTGCCATGCACCATTTAGTGTTTGGTGAGTACAGGGAGGGTGCAGGGGCTTGTTTGTGCTTGGAGCCATTAGGCTTAGGAGGGAAGGTTGTACACTTGAAGGAGAATTTATGTTTGGACAGGGAATTTGAGCTTGAGGGGAGTATTGGCTTGGCAAGAGAATTTGTGGTTGGCATGGGGGGTGCTTTATGTACCCCTAACCCCTTTGGTATTACATACTTCTTACCATACTTCTTACCTCTGTCTTATATGTTCTTATAAATAAAACATATTAAGTGTTAAGTGTCAATGTATTTTGTGTCATCATTTGTCAGGGTCAGTTTAACCAAAAGGTGTAGGTGGAGCCTGGTGGGAGTCATACCCCTGGCTTCCTATACAGTATGTCTTAGAGACTTCCTACCATAATTCCAAATTCTTTTCCTGCTCTCGTGGGAGTATTGGGTGGTCCTGCTCCTTGACTTAGGCAAAGTTGAGAATCCATGTACAGTCTATGCATAGGGTCCATGGTGCTCCACAGGGACAAACTTGCGGACTAACAAATGTAGCACATGTTGTCTGTGCTTCAGCACCATTGTTGCCTTAGAAATGTTTTGGAACAGCACAGGTTCACCTTAAAGCGTATTTAACAAGATTCCAAACAGAGCAGTGATATATACATTTTATTAACTCATGACACCCAATCAGACTTTAGTGTACAGTAATAAGTGAAGGGTGAATTCTGGTTGTTTGTTTTGAGTTACAGCCTTCTGCAGGCTACTCATTCAATTATTAAATAAACTGGATATTTATATTTATTTAGATTTTCTAATTTGATGATCATCCATCTGTTCTGTCAATCCCTGATGGGGTGACCTGTCTGTTCATTAATATTAGCTTTATATGGCAGAGCGCTGCCAAAGAAATCTAGGTTACTTCCTTGGTCTGTTCTCTGGAGAGTCTGAGCTCATTTCAGTGCCCCTTTCAGGAGGAAAGAGCACTGAAGAGGCAGCAGGAGAGGACTTGAGGGCTCAATAAGAATCTCTCTAGCATTGCACAATTACTCTGATCCATCTGCACTCTCCCAGGAAGTCAGTTTAACAGCTATGGATAGTCAGAAGTCCCTCAGAGGATTTTGTCAGAATGACTTTGTGCAGCTGCCTAGCTCAGAGTGTTGTGCGGTCAGCAGAGAGGACTCGGCATTCAGACACATGTTTCCCAATCCCCCAAGCCAAACAGTGTCATCTCCTATGTAGAGCTCACACTCCTTGGACAAGAGATTATGGGGCCTGCGGGAGGAAGTGCTCGTTCTGAATGGCTTGTTTTGTGTCTGATATGACAGAATAAAACTCATCAAGATTTCGTTCTGCTTTCATACATTTGCGTATTTGAGAAGGAATTTAGCTGAAACTTTAATGTCATTTACAATGGAGATGAAGAGAAAAGAATTGTCAGACTGATCCACAGATTTTGTCTAAGCACAATTGATAAGTAGAAAAGATCTACAGTTCTTTGTGGGACAATCGGATGTCATCGGCATGTGCAGACATTTAAATCTCAGTCCATTTGTGTGACCACTCTTCCTCGTTCTCTTTGTTTAGCTGATTTGAACTATGAAAATGAATAGATTTTTTTCCGGTATCAAACAATTATCAAAAGGGCTATTACTCTTTATAATACCCCCAACCATAGACTGGCAATTACTGTGAGGTTCAGTGTCTTTTGGGAAAAGCAAAAAAATAATAAATAATGAAAAGTTTTAGGGATTGGTTATACCCTTTTCACACAGATGTTCAGTCAGTCTATTTTTCACCTGTGATTACAGAGTTAAAAACCGGACTGCAATACATCCCTATGGACACCTGTATGTAAGTGGACCACTTATTTCTGCCCACTTCTGGGTCCTTTAATGTTCATTAGACTGAGCACAGAAAATTTGCATCCAGGCCCGCTTCTACTGACAAGGGCAGATATACAACCACCCATAGTGATTACATGGGTCCGTTTTGCCTTCATCCCAAGATGGAGGAGAAATAGGAATGGACATTGGTGTCACATATGTGATATCCATCTCCGTTCTGATCCGACTCAGCAAGGGAACAGTCTATGATCCCCTGCTGAGATGGAACAGATGGTGTGCGAGTGATAGGGGCCCTAAAAAAAAATGTTCCCCACTGGAAGATTTTACCTGTATTCCTACTTTGGTGATCATTTCAAATGTTGGATCTTCTTTCACTTACAGTACATTCTTGGTTACATAGTTTCATAGTTAGTCAGGTTGAAAAAAGACACGTGTCCATCGAGTTCGACCTATAGAGATATGAAAAGAAAAGCCTAAACAGAACGCTATGCCCACAATTACCCCCTGTTGATCCTGAGGAAGGCAAAAAACCCCTCTAAAGCATGGTTCAATTTGCTCCAACAGGGGAAAAAAATTCCTTCCTGATCCCATAAGGCAATCGGATATTCCCTGAATGGTGACAGTGGTTACCAGGACAGATAGAGAGGGTAAATCTCCCCAGTGGGGCTCAGATACACTTTAATTAGCTATGTCATGCAAACAAAAAAAAATTATGTTGACATAACTTACTGATTTTTGTTTGAGAATTGAAAGTTTTTAAGGAAAATATTCTGTCCCGTGATGCCATACGGGTTTCCCTTACTCTGCTCAAGCAAGCTATTCTGGATAGACTTGGGAAGAGTAAATACTTCTGTGACATTTGTATTTCTGTTGATGAGATTGAGGGGAACGGTTATCACAGATTCTAATAATATTCCAATTATTCCCCTCCAGTATTATGTTTCGGTCCCAGCTGGTGAGATTTCACATCACTTCTTCCCTGATGTGCAATGGGGAGAGATCTCTAAAATCACAGATCTAAGGATCTGTGAGCATTCTACATATATAGAACATGTATAGAACGTGAGGATGCCGTGGGACATACCATCACTGGAGCGGAGGAGGGACAGGCTGGAGGGAGTGGTGTAGGAGCCAGCCAGGATTGTAGTTATTTTAGCTCTCTAGACAAAACAATTTACCTGGAGTTCTTCTTTAAATGTATTTTTCAATAGCCACAAAGCATATAAAATCACTTGTTGTTCTGTGCTCCAAATGCCTTTAAAACTCAGATGTTACCCTGTCTAAGGAGTAATCTAAGGAGCAGGATAGACATTTTTTCTCTAATTTTTTCTCTTCTCTTTTTCTCTAAGTTTTCTCTGAACTTACAAAATTCTAACTGAATATGGTTTTCATTTAGGAAAAAAAATACATATTGTAATGGAGATGTGCTAGGCCCAAATGAAACCTGTGTAATATGTCTGGGATTCCGTTCAAGTAGCCAGTCTGGATGAAATTTGTAAGGGCTTTCAAACTAAATTAGTTCTCTCAATGATGGCAAAATGTAATGCTCTGACAAACGATTTCCAAATTTTAGCAGTGTATATCCAGCCTTAGGGTGCTTTCAATGTAATCTTGTTTGGATTCAGCCCCTAATGTGAGTGATTGTGTAATAAACCAGGGTATATAAACACCAGATACAAATAAAGCTGTCATTTTACACACAACCAGGGAATATGTTTGCCGGCACTGGAAGTATAAGGTCTTGTTCTAAATGGTTCCTGTGGCCAACAAATACACATCTCTCCTCCAGATCTTTTGAGAAGCATTAACTAATTCTTATTTCAATATGTTTTCCAGACCAAAACAACAAGCAAAGATGGCAGAATACTGCAAGCAAATATTTGGGGATGGACTTCTGACAGAACCGCTAGAAAAGTATCATGTAAGCTGATAAAATTGTGTAATAAAACAATGTTAGTTTATTGTGTTGTTTATATAAAACTTGTGTGAATTAGAAAAGGTTTAGTGTTTTTATCGGGGCAAATTTATATAGGGGCAAATTATATTGTGCCTGTGCAGTACCATAACAAAGTTGTTTTACATTCTTCTAATGAAAAGCCAAAATGTCAGTATGGTTGTCTGTGTTTTTGATGGTGTATCCTACCTGTCCCATCATTTGATTAAAGGTCATATTTTATAGGGCATAATATTTGCTTATCTCATATAAACATCTGACATACAATACATGATGATAAATACATAGCTCTCGTATTGTGATTCAATAATCACAATATCCACAGTTCATGGTACATGGTAGTGTGATGGTCAGTAAGAATGCCCCTTATGCTGGTGGCCAGTGGGAAGACTGCCCCTTACATTGGTGGCCATTGGAAGAATTCTTCTTACATTGGTGACCAGTGGGAAGACTGCCCCTTACATTCGGGGTCATTGGAATAATGCTTCAAACTTTGGTGGTCAGTGGGGAGAATGCTCCTTACATTGTGGTAAGTTGGAAGAATGCTTCTTACATTGGTGGTCAGTACGAAGAATGCCTCTTAGATTGGTGGCAAGTGGTAAGAATACCCCTTTACATTGGTGCCAAGTGAGAAGAATGCCCCCTTACATTGGTGGCTAGTGGAAACAATGCCCATTACATTGGTGGCAAGTTGGAAGAATGCCCCATTACATTGGTGTCAAGTGGGAAGAATGTCCCTTACATTAATGGCTATTGGGAAGAATGCCTTTTACATTGGTGGTCAGTAGGAAGGATGTTCCTTACATTTGTGGTCAGTAGGAAGACCACTCCTTACATTGGGGTAATTGGCAGAAATTGCTAATTGCTGAAGGTACCCCTGGTAACCTGTGGGGGAAACCCGGTTGAGAAAGGCTGATTTAGAGGTTTCATTATATGTTTCTGGTGTTGATAGTGATAGAGGCAGTCATTGCCCTGAAAATGCTAGCTGACTGAATCCTTTAGTTTCTATGCTTTAAACGTCACTACCCTAAAACAAGCATGCATCATGTGAATAGAGACTGAATTCAGAATTCTTGATTTGTTTACTTTTGGGACAATGACAAATACTGTTTTTTTTCTCAGTTTAGGTTTCCTTTAGAAGTTTTTTTTTGTGTTTAGGATATCCTACTATCTGCAAATACAGACATAAAATTAATAAATATTAAATGCACATTAAAGAAGAGGCCTTCAGTTTAACAAAAACAATTTTTGAATTACAAATATGTTTTAATAGTATTTAATAACATTTAGTAGAATATTTATTTATTTTTTCTTTCAAGAAGATTTTTATTTTTATTTTGTTACACTGCAAGATACGAGTAAAAACAATTTTTATTGTTAATAATGACAAAGCTCTCAGTATAAACCAATCACAAATCACTCTTCTGGTTTCTAAAAATGGGGGATATTATTACACAAAAATAGCCTAAACCAGCCGCACAGAAAAAATTATTTGTCTATTCTGGTTTGTTTAAAGTACCCGATTTCATGACAGCAACATACCAGCTGCTATTACATGCTTGCTTTTTAAGATGCCAACTTGGAATTGATCTTAGCTTTCTTAACTAGTCATGAACTTACATATAGCCAGTAAAATCCAAAGTTTGAGCTCCCACCCTGCAAGCTTGTCAGTCATTTGGTAGATTACAAAGCCTGGATCGTGATGACAGCCCTGAAGCCTGCATCAGAAGCAATTCTACAATAGCGTCTCTCATGTTTCTGTCCTTACAGGTTCCATTAAAATCATCGGGAGTCAATGGACACCATGCTGTGTCTATGTCAGCTGCCGCCATGGACAGCTATTATGTGCTGAGGAGGACAAAACACATCTGTTTAGGGCCCATGTGTTTTCATGTGTTTAGGTGCGTTGCATTAGGCAGCCTATTCAAAATAAATAGGCTGTAATGTATCTCAATGCATGAAAAAATAGTTCATGTAGCATTTGTTTTGCGGCGCACTGCAAAGTTCATCATGCATTGTGGTGCACTGTAATTTAGCTGTGTTCTGGATATGGGGTGCCTTTAAAATGAATGGCACCACAACACATGTATGGTGTGGTAATGTGGTAGATGTGGTAGTGGGACTGAGCTCTAATTCATACTCTTACATCTATCTTTTAGAGCCATAGAAATCTCATGTGAAATAACAGACTGGTTCAGTGAAACAGTGTAAGGAGCGAAGTGCTGAGTGCTATGTCCGATACTCAACACTATCAATTAGAATCCCCTAGAAAAGTAAAGTCCCAGTATTTGCTATGGGTTACTGCACTTGGTTATTAGGCCCTTGATTCCTATGGATCACAGGGCTTTGGGCTTTTAAAAAATAAAATTGGCATTATGTTGTGCTGTAAATAGTGAAAAAAGGAGTTCCACTTTAATAGGTTTTAAAAAGATTATGAAATTCTGTTTAGTTGGTTTTGTGATTCACACATTGTTGACACATGGCAGATCCAGAACATGACTTTAATAATTTTGACTCAGTTTTACCTGCTTACTGCACAAGAAATCAGCTGTGTGATGGTGCTGATTCATTGTTTAATGAGCAGACTGAAGGTGGAGATGTGACAGAGGAAGCTGCACATCTGAAACAGGAAATAGAGGTGCCAGCTGGCTGTGCACTGTAGCAGAGGCATAGGTATAATAAGACTGACCTAACAGAATTACAAATAATGTGGCAGGTAAAACTGTTTACATACTGTATATGCTTTGAGCATTAGGTTGCTTACCTGGAATTAAGCTTTAACACTGAACAAACAATTTCTTCCATTGGTGTGACATTTATTTAGGAGGGCTGCTAGAAGTAGTTAGTCATTTCTGTACCTCCCCTTAAAAAAGGTTTCTCAATTCCCCTTTACTATTTTTGCCCTTTTGTTCAAAATAAACATACTTACGCCCATGTAATCCTGTGTTGTCCTCTTTCAAACCATCATGCTCTGTCCTATGCCACCATTTTTCTTTTTAAAGTCATCGGGATCTAAGTTTCTTTTTCTGGTTATTGCAGCCAGTCCCCTGGTGAGGCAGCACCATGTCCCTCTCTCCAACGTCAGCCATGTACCCGCTGTGGTGCTGGTATTCCTGTGAAATTTTGTGTCTGCAGAGAGATTACATAGATCATGAAATCTTGCAGGGGAACAGTATCATGAGACATTGGTCCTGTGACCTGGGTATCCTAGAAGGTTGCAGGAGTAAGCTAAAACCTTACCCCCAATAAAATCACAGACAGCCCGCTTTGTAATATTGTACAGGGGGAAGGATTTGAATAGAGCATTATGTTGTTTGAGCTGAAAGGTACGCTTTAAGTTTGTAACACAAGTTCCTTTAAATTCATAGCTCGAGCCAGGGGTGACTCTTCCCAGCCCTATGGAGTTAAAGTATAAAATCCTGGTGAAGAATAAGAAGAAATCTCACAAGTCATCTGAAGGAAGCGCAAAGAAGAAGCTGTCAGAGCAAGCATCCAATGCCTGCAGCGACTCTTCCAGTGTGTTTGAGCCATCATCTCCTGGGGCTGGTAAGTCTTTATTCTACATTCATCACATAAGGCTGATCCATGGCAACCTCTAGCAAGTCTCACTTTTGGGTTTCTACGGTGTTCTAGCAACATGGACTCTGGTTGTTATAAGCAACAAGGACACTTTTCTTGCAGGAACGTTGCTGAAAATATTAAAGGGTATGTAAAAGCTATTTTTTTTAGCTTTTGATAGAGAAGGGAAGGTTTATAGCTTCGCCACAGCCAAGGTTGATTTAGAGTGTTTGTCAGGTTTATACTACTGCCTGTGTACCCACTAGGTAAATTCACCCTTCCATTTGCCTTTGTGACCATTGTTACAGAGATAGAAAGGGGGGGGTGAGGGGAAGTCCAACATTTTGGCGTTTTCACCAGAGCAAGAGGTGAGGGAAAAACCTCCAGTGGGGACACCTGTTCCTATGACAAACATCTAAGGAATTCTGAGATTTCCTCTCATGTCCTGTTGCATCTCTAGGACAGAAAGTGAAGGATAATCTTTCCAGCGTGACCCAGGCAGCAAAAAATAACCTTGCTTACCCTATCCAAAACTAAAATAAATCTAAAAGAAACCATGAACACAACTGTAACATGCAGGTGAATAAACATACCTGTTGATCAGGCTACAAATATTTAGGTCTAAAGTTAGGTCTCAAGCAATTTTATCAGCCTTCCTAGATGTCATCTGTGCACTTAAAAACAACTCTCCTCTTTGTAATTGAGATGAGGATATGGGGAGCTGTTTGTAGTCCAAATTACGAGATCAGCCTAGGGTGACAATGCTGCTCTTCCATGGATACAGTACAGTGAGTGAGCATTCCTGTGCTTGGACATGAAGTGTGTTACTAGCAGGATCACTAGGTGAATTTAAAAGGGGAAAAACATGAATATAATAATGCAGCCATCACATATCAGTACTGGTAAGCTGCAATATATTACATTTTTGTTTTGGGTTTACCTATACTTTAAATAGAGCCTAATAATGCCCCAGGACTTAGGCTGAAGATAATTCTTGTTTTTTTCCACACAGATCCTATTTAGGACAGGGTCTTACAGAGGATGTACACTTTTGAACACGCTGACCTTAAACCTCCAAACAGTTCACATTTAAGGGTCTAAATGGTTAAGTGTATATTCAAATATGGTCAAATTGAGGGAGGGATTTGGGTAGATATGACAGGGCATGAAGCTAAATGTTGAAAGACACAAATGTCATGTGATGACCTAAGAACATAAGTAGGTATAATTGGTCAGTGGTGATGTTAACAGCTTTGGTAGCTTGGCCTGGACATGAATTTTGGTAGATCATGTTACCCAGTGGCATAGTTTTAGGGATCCCAGAGATCACAGTTGTAAACAGGTGCTTAATCCTGGAAGGCCCATTTTCCTTACATGGCCACATCCAACCTCGCTATCATTACTTGAACTATTTCCCTCTCCCTGAGCAAGTGCAAAAGCTACTGTGCCCTCATACCCTCTAACTGGCAAATACAGATGCCAGTCGCAATGCAGGAGCACATAGTATATTCAGTAAGTGGGTAGAGGGTGGTAGGGTCTATGTGACATTTATAAGACTAGCAATATGTCGAAATTTTCAATTCTAAACACTGTCTAAGGAATGTATTTAAAAAGTGCTAAACCAAATCAGAAGACCCAGGGTGGTGAAGCTTGATATTTAACAAGGAATGTGTTAAGTACTACTGAATGCTGACTCATTTACTGAACCCACATTTCAGCTGCCATATGAAGTGCTAACATAGCAATCTGTTCTTAGCAGAAGCAGTAACCTTTTTTACAGCAATATACACTAAAGGAAATAGGCGTTATTGACAGGAAAGCTATCCATGGGACAAGTGTTAGAAGTCTGTTTGATTTGGCTGTGATAGTGAATCCCAGGGGCTTTTTTGTCCTTTGACTTATTTGTTTGAACAGACAGGCAAGCAACAAGGTATGCAGAGGTTGGATGAATTTGATCACAAATCTTGTCAGTGCCTAGATCAGAGAAAAGTATTACCACAGTATTACAGAAACTGGCAATTATCTGTTTCTGAAAACTGTTACGTTTAGGATTGTTGTTAGTAGGCATCTACATGTGCTCCTTATATAGTGAAGACACAATCATGGCAGTATAGACTACAGCCCTTTGAACAAGTTTATAATCACCTTTCATATTTTTCTGTTTGTTGTAGAAATTGTCATTCTTCTGCATTGTACCGTCTATCTCTACAGATCAGAGGAAGGTGTTAACAGAAGCTGAGTTAGATTTCTCAGTATGTAACTGTCCATAACATCCAGTCATTTCAAGGCACTGCAACATAAAGATAATTTGAGATAACATAATACAAATAAACTATTACAATCCTGAAAAATACTTTAGCTCTATTCAAACAGCAGCCGTGGATGCCCTTTCAATGTGCCAGTGTGCACAATGTTCTGGAGAAAGATGGCTACTTTCTTGGAAAACTTTGTGGACGTGTGAAATGTTTGCATACTGTACACACTGGGCTAATCCTCGGGAACTTCATATTCTGCCTTTAAATTTGGCAAATGTTTGTATTAATTTGCAACCGGTCATACCTGCTCAAGACCCTTTTTTCACTGGTGTCACAATAGAAATGGATCTTTGGGAATTGCTTCTTCAATAACCGTCCCCCTATTTTTCATATAAAAATAGTTAAAACATACCAATGAAGAAATATGTTATAAAGTGATAATAATTGTACACTCACCCACCAGTTTAATTTGTTGCTATAGTTCATTCAACATTCAAAAAAAAAGTCATACCTGAAATACTATATGGTCACCTGACCATCACACCCATATGAGGTTGTGGACATTCCATTTAAAAACTATGGTCATTATTATGGAGTTGCTCCCTCCCTCAGATTCACTGTTCTTTTTACAAGTGGGTCTGTGAGAATTTGTGCCCATTCAAACAAAATAGCATTTATGAAGTCAGGTACTGATGTTGAACGAGAAAACCTGGCTTGCGATTGGCATTTCAATTCCCAAAATGTGTTCAGTGGGGTTGAGGTCAGAGCTCTTTGCAGGGCACTTGAGTTCCTCTATGCCAAACTCATTAAACTAGGGGTGCACCAATACAATTTTTTCCAGACAGAGTATGAGTACCGTTATTTTTCCTCAAGTACTTCCTGATACCAATTACCCATACTTTTTTAGTGTCATGTGACAATTTTGGTATTTCTGCCACTGGCTTCAAACTGTAGAGGGACTACAAATCTCAGCAGTACATTATACAGCAATGCAGAATAATACCATTAGGTAGAGAGGAAGTGGCCCAGGTGGCTGTGCAGTCTTTCCTGGGGTCCCAGTCAGTCTCGGCAGTTGCGGGTGGTGTTGAGGAGGAGCAGATTTTTGGCCTGTGCTGAAAATAGGAAGACTGCGGGGAACTTGCTGGGGAGCTCAGCAGTCTTCTTGTGAAGCCCAGCGCTTGTTTACAGCGCCGGCTTCAGTTTAAAAATGTAAAGTGCCCTTATCTGCGCTTAGTATCGGGGTATTTTCATGAGTACAAGTGAAAATGCCCAGTATCGGCACTGATACCGGTATTGGTGCATCTCTACATTAAGCCATATCTTTATTGAGCTGGCATTATGCACAGGGGCACATTCATGATGGTCTTTTTATGCTATAGAATTAACAGTATCCTTCACTGGAAACACCTGAACGTAATAATTTGGAGGCATGTCCACATATCTGTCGCAATATAGGTTGGTGTAATAATCAGGGGCCCACAAACTTTTGGCCATATAGTATATGTGATGCCAGCAATGGGTCTCCTTCCCAGTCAGGGAAAGCAAGAAGCTGCCATGCAGATCTCTAATTAGGCTAATGAGGCTTTATGCATGGGAAGAGCTTACCTTCCCATTAATTTCTCTGGAATTTCAACTTTAACAACACCATAATATAATTAAGAGAGTAAGAAAGGAATGAAGGGCACTAGCATGTCAAGGAATTATTTATAATGTTAAGCTGCAGTGAAATAGATACATATGTGCCACAGTCAGATGCGTTACTACCATATCTGGCCGTGTGACAGTTATGAAGCCCAACGAGAGGAGAGTCCAGAGAGAGGAGGAACCAGAGCAGGTCCTTAACCATTTCTCTTTATGCACTTTCACCCCTTATCTGTTGGGAGAAGCTACTTTTCTACACATGTCCCATATTTGATGTTTGGTACCATGGGCACCAAGACTGCGAACTGCCCAACATCTAATTTAACTTCTGTTTACTGTGCACAGTCCCCATCCTGCACTGTTTCCCTTGCACTATTATGGATGAGGGTGGTGCTCTTGTCCCCAGGGAGGAATAGGCACCCAGCAAAAGAGCAACTGCACCGGACTTGACATTAGAGATCACTGCTAGCTGGAGATTCACTGGCAGCATGTGACCATCAGCCTGCCTACCTGCCTGCTCGCTCCCCATCCACCCTTATTTGAATGCTGCTGCTGATTTCTTGTGAACATGAGGGCAGCCACGGTGAGAATTTGAGCACTGATAATCAATTTAAAGGGACACACTGTCCACCAATATAAGGGGACACACTGACCACTAATGTAAGGGGCACACTGACCACCGACGGGTTACACAGAGCACTGACTATAACTGTAAGGTGGCATGCTGAGCACTGACTACCAGTGTAAGGGAAACACACTGACCACCAGTGTGTTTGCATACTCTATATGCTAGATAGTCCTGACCATTGCACTCTATTTACTATGTTGTACATTATACAGTCCTGAAAGCTGCCTTTATATGCTGTGTTGTAGATAACATAGGCGTAAACACTGCTATGTTGTACATTACATTGTCCTTACTGCTGCGATCTATGCATTATATTGTGCACCATAGACCTGACCGCTGTACTGTATATATTATGCTGTATTACATACTCCTTACCTAGGTGTTTATTGTCTTCTGCTGGTCACAAAGTAGGTCCCAATTATTTTAATGAAGTTTTTGTTTAAGGTAGGATCAGACAAAGTGTT